AAACCGTTCTCATTTTGCGTTTATCTTTTCCATCACAAGATTTCGGCACGGTTTTCTCAGCTCGCATCTCAAAACGACCCCCAATGCTCATAATGGCCGCATAGATAGTGATTGTGTAGATGTAGTCCAAGAACAATGCGATTGCAGTGTAAATGCAGAGCAGGCGAATTTCTGGTGTTGGCATGAATGTTCCCATGCCGAACGCTACAGCATTCGTAAATGATGTGATTGTAATCGATGGTCCAACGTCGACCAGTACCTAAAAATATACAGTTTTGCATTTTTGCTTACTGATTGTTTATGAAAGAGTCGATGAGGCCGAAATCCCAGTCGTTCGGGTGCGTCTTCAGGTAGTGAACGATCAGAGTAACTCAGTACTCTCGCAATTTCTTTTATAAATGGTTGACGCATAAAATGGACGAATTTCATTTTCAAATAGCAAAGCGATGGTAAAAGACATAACGGTTTTTGGATGATTGTTACTACCGTCGTTACAGAAACCCGTGAGCAACACAGTTATTTGAGGTGACTGGAAAAACAACATGAGTGATCCACTGAGTACGTCATAAACTCGGAAGAAAATTATTCACCTCAGCCATTCGCTCTCTCAGATCGTCTTTTATTCCACTCCGAATTCGCTTTCCGCAGACGCGGTTCCAAGCATTTATCATCAAAAATGCGTCATCAACACCTGCAATCAACAACAATCCGAAGTGATTCTTGACCGAATAGTGCCGAATTTCTTCATTATCACGAACGAACATATAGCACTTGATGCGCTCACTGTCAACACGTACTAATGAAACAATGCAGGACTAATTTAGAGATTTTCAAAAATTTCTCTTTTACGTCTAATTTGAACGTTTGACAATGAAAAATTCTCAAGATTTTCGCAATCAGTAATTCTCGAATCATGATTTTGAGTGATCAGAAACGGATACAAGTATGATCAACTAACCGATAGCTAAAACAAGAAACGGTGTAACGCAAAGTACAGTGCCAAACCGAAATCCAAGGCTGATCGCTATCCCGAATGCGGTCGTTGTGGCCAGCAGTGGTGTCGTGCATGCGGTTACGGCATAAGTAATTTTGTGAATAGACCACTGAAAATGAACGATTGCAATATGCAGCGCAATCACGTAGTATTCATCATCACTGGAGCTTTAATGTGAGAAGATCGGTTAAAGTCGTGAATTTAACTCGACGTGAATTCAAAGACGTTTGATGAAATAGTACTCGGCTCTCACGATGCTGAGCGATACACTATTTGAACGAACGAAAATAAACCTGATGTTGATATTTCGATCCAATGAAGACGGTCAGAATCGAAAAAACACACATAATGGCAAATCCAACGAATATATATGGGAATATGGTCAAGCCAGTTCGTACAACTTCATCTTGAGTGTATGCCAACGAAACTATATACGTTTTGATCAGTGGTAGTTCATCAGTTCTGAAATTCAAGGATTTCATTGCACCATATGAACTGAATTACAGACAAAAACATTGGTGAAATCGCAATGAGAAGTACATCTCGCATACTAGAAGCCTAAAAAGCCTCAAATGCAAGCCTCGATTCATAAAATGTATAATCATCACTTGTGTTCAACAAGGCTATCAATATTTGCGAACTACTTACTCTCTGAAGTATTTACCAACACCACGCTCCCATGCATAGATGTCGTCTTCGGACCAATCCGCAGGCTTATGAGCACGGAAATGCAGCACGACAACTTTGAGGTCTTTGATATTTGACGCATATGAGCCGTTCTTCATCTCATCCGAATCATACGTGGTAACACCGAAGAAATTCGGAGTCAAATCCAGATCTCGACCGATGAAACGAGTGATCGGATATGAGAGGTTCATCAAGCTTCCAATTTCTCCGCCACCCCTAGATTCACTCACAACTAATCCGTTCTGAAAATGATCATCGTCGTTATTTGCAATCGTTCATTCCATTCTTTCAACCTATCACTGGTCTCCTCAGTCATTATGTAACTTTCAATGATATTCGCTTCCATGATATCTTCGAAAAAATTGTTTTTTCTCAAACTTGCAATGTAGATGATACTGCCTTCGAAAAACGCGACAAACGTAAATTGAACAAAAAACTCTGATACCACATTGAACAATCGAATGTTTGAATACTTCCACCAATATTCCCAAGAAGTGAATATTTTTAGAGTTT